AGAGGAATTAAATATAATATGATTGATGGCACTCTTTTCTGTATTTAAAGGGTATCCAGAACTTCCAACAGCAGTCAATATAACTTGGTCTTCAATCAATTTTAAAACTATACTACAGTGGCAACCAAAACCATCAGATTACTTCTATACTGTAGAAATACATGGGTAAGTAGATAACACCAAAGTGTGACCATTAGTGGCAATTGAAAAAGATGCAAATAGAATGTGATTGAATATTTCTGAGAAGGAATGTAATAGGAAAAGGTCTCAAACATGAGGATTTAGGAAAATTGCCAACCCCGCTGTTAATTCTTCTCTGTATCCAACTATAAGAATAGCTGGTTCAGGCTTCTGGTTTTGCCACTTCCTAAATGAAGAGTTGAGCTCTAGATCAGTATTTCAGTTCTGGGGTTCAGTGCAGACCAGCTGCACGAGAGATCTAGGCCAGGAATCTTTGAAGAAGTTGACACTCAATCTGACATACCATGGATGAGATAGAACTTTGCCTTTTTATGTCTTTCAAGGTATCTGGACTGTGTCTTTCGTCTTCACTTTAGGGAGGTGTCTAATAAACGAGTCTGCATTTTATTCTAATTGGTGAATCACTGTAAATGAATAATTTATCTTGCTGGATAATACTAAAAAATACCTTTGTTAGTCTACCTCTGTCAAGACTTCCTCTATCATCGTGTTTTATGCAGTCTATAAAATACTGTGGACGTGAAAAGTAGCCAGCTTATGTAAAGTGTCTAGCACCTCTTTCTGAACTGCACACAATCTTCCATGAAGTTCAGTAATAAATCTGTGCTGTTCTAGCTCCCATTTTAATCCATAGAGCATTATTAAACGTGCCCCAGAGGAAAAATGCATCATCAAATCTCCTACATGTGAATGAGAAGTGGTACTGTAGTCTCTTCTGTCTCTAAAAGTGGCATAGGAGTGAGAGCTCTCTCATGACTAATGGAAGAAATACCAGTTAAATGGCCTAATGTGCTCTTTCATTCTTTAAGGGAGTGCTTAGATTAATAGACTTAAAAGCACACACTTAGCAGAAAAAATTTATTATATTTATGAATCTGGAGTTTCTTTCCAGCCATTTTCCTTGCAACAATAAAAGATTGTTTATCCAAGATTCAGAATAGAATCAGGTGTAGTTCTGCAACAGAGACCTCTTTAGACAAGTTGCTGTTCTGGAGGAAGTGTACTTAAATGTTTGCTTTCTCATGTATGCACATTTACAGAGTACATATGTTTCATCACAAGATCAAATCTCCTCTGTCCCTTTTCAAGGCATCTCTTGTGTCACTGTCACTAACTGACCTGTGACATACGAAATCTGTTGAAGTGAGAAGGAACTTCAGGCGACTCTTAAGAATAAACCTTCATCTACTTTGAAGAAAACTTTTTTTTTTAAAAAAATCTAGTTTTTAAACAGTCAGCACTTGCTCTTCCAGCGGAGATCACACAATTTTTCTTACCTTTTACTTCGCCAGAAAAAGAGGGAAAAGAATTGCAGGAGTAATTTTTAATCTGTTTTTTCATTCCTTCTGGATGGAAGTCTCATTACTATTTCTCAAGTAAATTGACCTGCTTTCTGTCATTTAAAAATCAAGAGAAGTGCATGGGTCATTTTAGTGCATAACCTATATATGGAGACATTGTTGTCACATTAAACAATTGGTGCCAATAGAGCTTCCTGTAACAACTGATGTTTCTAAAGGCAATAGTTTTCAGATGCATCAACGATGACACTTTCAAAGTGATTTCTGTTTTTTAGGTTGAACTTGTGTTTTTTGAAATAAATTCTGCTGCTGCAGAAAAATGCAAAATCAGAACTACTTTTGGTTTCTAATTGATTCATATAAAAGATTAGATTTTTAATTCATATATGTGCCCAATAACATATTTCTATAATGAATATGGATTGTACTTGATTTACTTGCTTCCATTTTGAATTAAGAAATGTAGCTGTACAGGAGAAGTGTTTTTTTAGGTTTTCTCTTCTCCTTTTCAGCCTAATACAGCCGCAAGACTGTTCTACTGGATGGGGGAAATCTATACATTTTGAGGGGAAGAATGTTTTTTAACATACCTAAATATGTATGTGTTTGGCTGGAAAATGTTGACACTTGTTTCTTGCTCTTTTCAGACAGACATCTGACATTAAAAAAAAGTGCATAATGACATCAGAAACAGAGTGTGATGTTACCGATGCGCTCAGGAATGTGAGAGAGACCTATACAGCACACATACTGTCGGTCCTGTCCATGGGGATGGACAACTATGAAGAGCCACTTTATGCAGTCTCTGAAGAATTTACACCTTATAGTCAGAGTAAGTAGAATTGCCAGTTAAATCCAATTCTAAATTTCCTCTAAAGATTACTTCCATTGACTTAAATAAGGCTTAGATTGAGCTTAAGGGTTTTTCCTATAGATTCTTACAGCAGTCATGCTGGTAGCAGAGAAGACATTCAGGCATAAAGCTTTCCTTGATGTAAGGCAGTGTGTAGGATTTCAGTTACCATTTGTTTGTCACTGTAGTGAGTAGAACATCTTAACATTGTGCTAGGTGAAGATATTTGTTATCAATCCAGGACTTTACTGTATCACTTTGGCTGTGTAAACTTACAAAAGATTTGAGGAGGGAAGGTAATGGAGGGATGAAATAAAAAAGAGCATGTCCTATAGAAAAGATGATGTCAGTTTTATAATTCTGAAAACCTTTGTTCAGCTGTTATCGGAAAACCGGAGATACAGAACTACACACAAAAAGGTTCCCAACTGAATGTCGTGTTCAAGGATCCACTTACACCATATAAATTTCCTAATGGAAGCTTTCAAAGTATTCGAGAGATTTTCCAGCATGACCTGGAATACAAACTCTATTACTGGAAAGATCGAAGTTCTGGAAAAGTAAGATCTAACTCTACTTCTTATTCTGTTATAATTTTTATATTCTTTATCTGTATTATAACTGCACAATTTCTTTGCTACCTGAAGAGCTGACACTTGAAGTGGTTTTTTTCCTTTACAGAAAGATGAAACAACAAAAAGCCATCAATTTGAAGTAAGCGTTGACAGCACGAAGAACTACTGCTTTTATGTTCAGGGAATCGTTCCCTCCCGCAAGGAAAACCGGAATGGTCAAGAAAGCATGGTGCTTTGTACCAGTGTAGGAAAAAATATCTTAGATGGTGAGTATCTGGTGAAGTTTGTCACACCATCTTTACCATTCTAACAAAAAGACACATCTTTAAATTGTGATGCCTGTTATAAACTATTTACTGAGTAAGTTAGAAGACATAGTTGGTACCAGGAAACTCATCGGAAGAACTCACTTTGAGTAAGTGTTCACCATCTTAGCTAGTTGGAATTGGATTTAGGGTTTTGCTCAACTGTTTTGGTTAAATTGAGTTGATGACCGGTCATTGAGATTTCAGATCTCATCACTAGCCTTCAGCTTCAGCATTTTTTTCTGATTGTTTTCCTCAGATCCTTCCAATAGCAGGTCCCGCAGTAAGTGCTTGAAGGATCAGCTCTAAAACATAGGAGTGCTGGAGACCTGCATATCCATTGACTTGTAGTTCAAACCGACCTTTAGTTGTCCCAAAAGCAGATGATGAGACTAAGACTTGCTTTACTGTTACATTACAAGGTCAGAGGTTGGCAGAGTGACTTCTTTACTGGTAAATATGTTAGGGAGTGGTCAGTGAATCAGCCAGTCAAATTTCAGACAAAAAATCTTCAATATAAAGTCATTCATATTAATTAAATGATCTCACATTGCCATACTGTATCTTTCTTCTCCACTAAATAGGAATATTTGCACTTTAGGAAAGCTTTTCTAAAAGTGGCAAATGAACTCAAATGAACTTACCTAGATGTATATTTTTGTTTACCACAATAGTGCTAAATTACAATTTAATTGAAACTTGAATAGAAATCTCTTCTCTTGGTGTTTTCTAGCTTATAACCTAGAATAAATTTCCACTTGGACAGAAATAATGTAGGGGTAGGGGGCATGATTTGACTTATTCTTATGGTGTTAACATGGTATTTTAGTGCACTAACTAAACAAGATGAAAACCAGATGAAATAAAGCTTAACCTCAGTTCGACAGATTCATGTTAAAATGTATTCAGTCCACACTGGAGTGGTGACTCCACTTCTGTGATACTGTAAAATATAGAGAGCATTTTTTCATTCAGTGGAATGAATTCTAAGAGTTTGCAGCACTGTGACATTATGGGTTCTGATAATTGAATCTTGAATTGTTTTTCCCTCCCCTACAGAATATGGAGCAGAAGTCTTTATCATCATAGCAGTGGTCGCAATTGCAGTCATCACCCTTGCCATTGTCATATCAGTGTGTCTGTGTAAACGCAAGAAAGCAAGAGCTGCAAGAGCTGCAAGAGAAAAGGAACTGCTTAATGATATCTAAGGAAAAAGTATTGTGGACACTAGTGGCAGTAAGAAAGCAAAAAAACCCCAACAACAGAAAAAACATAAATTGGGTAATTGAGTGGAGGCTCTCAGCCTCTCTGGTACAGCAAGTTTGAAGCCCAAACTTTATGTGGATTAAGAATCCATGAGACAGCCCCAGATGAAAAATCCAGGTGTCAGGAATCCCCTGTGTCACTAGTGGCTGGAGGCTGGAAGAGCATTATGGTGACCTGTTACAATAGCTTAACCCTGCTCATAGACTGTTCCCAAGCCTCTTCTACTGTTCTGTCTGAAACAGGATTCTGAACTAGAGGTACTTTTAACTTAACCAGGTACAGCCATTCTGAAAGTATGGCCTTATTGAGCCAGAAGATTTGTGGTACTTATGAGGGGGAAAAAACACTACTTTTGGAAAATATGTGTCCTTTACCTAACTAAAAGGAACTTCTTTTTGTTTCTGTGAAACAAAACCTGTATTTATCTGTCTTTTAGCATTCTTAACTGGTGACATGATCTGTTGGTTCAGATGTGACAAATATGCTACTATTACTTCTACACTTCTTGGATAAAATTAACTTGGTCTGTTTATCTTTGGATATAGACAATCCAAGGTAAACAAACTACAACTACTGTACTGGCAACTTGTAAGGAACACTCTTGAAGAGAGTAGCCACTATCCATCTGGAAAGCATATCCAGATTACACTACATCTATACAGACAGGGTAGCCTGATAGTTCCAAGTAAGTGTTAGAACAAATACTTTGCAGGTTTTGAGTCAGTAGTAACTCACTTCATGCAAGCACTGAGTAGGTAGCAGTATTTACTGCATTTTGAACATTATTTTTAATTAAATCGTTGAATAATAGTTTCTGTGGTATAGATTCAAAACATCTTGGTAATGGGATCTGGAGGTACTTGTTGCTTTGACTTTTAATATTTATTTTATAAATGAGAATCTAATTTTTATACTGGTGATACCTGTATTTATGGTGGTAATTTATACTTTTGTAGTGAAATAAAGGTGACTGGCAAAATAAGACTTTCCTTTTCAAAGCTACATGCAGTATTCATTTCAGAACTGAATTTAAAAATACCTTTAGGAAACTTACTTTGTGACAGCAGTGTAGGCAAGCTGCCAGAAGTCTGTCCAGGACTGTGCAAAACAGACATGTAAGGATAAAATGATGAGAAGCCACAGTTGACAAACTGATGAAAGGTTTTGAAGAGGCCTGAGTCACTTTTCAGCTGTCCACTTATGTGAGCAATTATTCAGCATTTGCATTCACAGCTTCTCATTCTAAGGGAATGCACACCAGGAATCCCTGGATAAATCACACAGGGATTCCCACAGTGGTGCCTGTACTGCTTGTGGTACCAGTGTTCATTCAAGGCATGATGAGGCCTGGCCCAGAGGTAAGAACTGCTAGTGGTGGTGCTGAGCACAAAACACACACACACCCCCAAAGCTAAACAAAACAAGAGAACAGAAAAAATTAATCCTGTAGGTGGCACGAATTGACTTTGGATCTCAACACTTGATACATGTCTTAGAAGAAGATATCCATTGTATTTATGAGAAGGAATAACTTACTAAACTAATATCCCAATTTACCAATTTGTACAGAATTGGCTTTCATGTTTTTCATTCCTACTGTGTTACAGATACCATCTCTGTATGGATTAAGACTCCAGTGAATGTGATTTATGGGGGATTTCTTTGTTGTTTAATTCCTCTTTTTACAGAGGGAAGAAACATCACCATTCCCCCTGCAAAAACCCCCCCTGTTTACTTAATATTTTGCAATAAATGCTTAATGCATTTTCTGCTGATGCATAAGCCTTGTATGGAAAAGGAATCTCACAACAACATGAGAGTATGTGGGAGTAAATTTCAAAACATTCCAAAGTTGTCATCATTACTTCCTTTCCCTGTGGTGTTCTGCTTCCTCTGCTTCATTCAGTGCCAAGCTCAGAAAATGGAAGGGCTAATAGGAAAAGGAAAGCCTGTAGATTACAGCATAGCGTTTATTAAACTAGAATGATGCTATAAATCACATTTCATTACTTAAAAAGATTTTTAGCTTGTTCTGAATATAAAGATTGTGAAAGGAGGGGGGAAGAAAACACCCACAGAAATGCAAAAAAAAGTATCTTAAACAGTGAGAGAGTGGCCCACAGCTGCACAAGCTCTGGAAACCTGAAGCACTTCTGTTCCCTAGCTGCATTATGTTATCAGCCAACAATGCTGAGTAACCAGCATCACGGGGCTCACAGATCCTGTTTCAAAGAGGTTTTTGCTGCTTGTGGAGACAGTTGAGAATGGAGCCTTTTAATTACAAACTTCCCTAAGTAGTATCCCTTGGGCTGAGCCCACACAAAATGCTTTATGCAGGGATTTTCTCAGAGTATCAGGATGGGCAGAAGTTGCTGTTACTCTAACAGAGGTATTGTCACTAGGAAGAAGGACTAGGTCCTGTCTACAACACACACGTGGCCACTTCAGCATTGTATGGATTTAAGGTGGAGCCAGACACTCACAGAATTGATATAAGAAAGGGAAGGCTTTTCCTATGCAACTAAGTTTCCTGGCTTGTCTTCTCAGCAGGTTTCTGTAAGCAAGCGTGCTCAAACTGGTGCTCCCAGTCCCCCTGTTCTGCTTGGCCCCTTGTCATCTGAAACAGACATTCAGCTATTTTGTACAAATCAATGTATAACATTGCATACTGAAATAAGCCACTCTGATTTTAGAGTACTGCTTTAAAACCACATTCTTGTTCATGTAAGTGAATAAAGGCAGATCCTGTTTTCTTACTTTTCTGTCAGCCCTAACAGCATGACAGACTAACATTACTACCATTACTTAAATGAACACCTGTACAGGACTTCATAATTATATGTGTAATAGGTATGGCAGCAAATAGCTTAGCTAATCTATTTCTAGCAGACAGCTTTCCACTGTGAGAAGGCTGCTGCTGAGAGGCATGTAATGATAAGAATGTGATTATAAGCTTAACTTGGATCATTAGTTATGTGGCAACTCAGGACAAAGAGTTTCTGCATTAAGTAAGTGAGAATAAACAGCTGTGATAGATTACGTTGTCGGTTCAGGTTTGTAAAGCTGATTATTTTGCAGGTTAGTAGTGATTGGCAGAGTTTCAGAGCTTGCAACACACAGTACCAGACCCAAGAGTCAACCGAATAACCTTCTAATTATGCAGAACTTGTCCACGTACAACTAACTGTGCTTTCTGTAGTCTATGCTTGTCCTGGTGTTCATGTTTGAGAATGACAGAAAAAGAGCAACCTGCTAGACAGGGCAGAAGCAGGAACTGGCCAGCTGAAAATCTTTCCGTAACCCTTAGGCATGGTGTTAGTCACCAGGGCTCCCTCACCCTGTATACCTATTCCCTTACAAAGACACACTGCCCCAGAGTGCTGCCCCTCCCTTATTTGATGGTGTATCCTCCAGTACTCTACAGCAGGACTCTGACAAGAGCTCAGGGTACAAAGACCAGGAGAGATATGCTGCAAATCTCTTCCTTACATCTATGATAAGAAAACTTCCCCCTAGTGAAATCATGCTGCTGCTTCTGGCACAGCCTCTCACTCAGTCTATGTCAGTATCCCCCGAAAGAACATTTCCCTTTTAATTCCTCAGCCTCTAACTGTAGCTGAATTAGCCAAGTTCATAGGAAGATTTCCTTCAGGGGTCATTTCTTCCAGTAAAGCATGCCAGTACCTGGTTATAAACATGCAACCACGTTGTTTGCCTGCCGGGTTTCATAGCCAGGACCTGTCTTGTATGTCCAGCTGCAGAGACTGTGCCTGTTTATCATCTTGTCAAAATTTACACCCTATGTCACTAGACATACTTCAGTGTCTGGTTCCTGTAAGAAACTTGAAGCCTTTCTGCTCCTGACTTCCTCTGGCTCCTTTGTTGATGGTTCCATTTCTCTCCCCAATCCTCTACTCATTTCCATTACCTGTTCTCCCCCAAAGATGAACCCTCTGCTTTATTTCTGCAAACAGCTGGTCAGGATCCCATTTAAATCAAAACATAGCACCTGAATAAATCTAAATCCCTTAATCACAATCAGGAACCTATTAACAGCATGGCAACATTTTTTTAAACATACTACAGCTTCACTTGGTCACAGTTATTATATATGGCCAATAACTTCCAGAACTTTTGCTAGCACAGCTCTGAGTACCTTCTCATTACACCTAATTACCTTAATTGTAATTTTTAGTGGCTTCTTTAAAGTTGCAATTAAGAAGTTATTAATCTGAACTCAAAGAATATTCACAATTCCAGATCTCATTTATCCTCCCTGATGCATTTTCTTCCACTTTTATTTTCAAGTTTTCTACCTTATTACTTCAATATTTAGTCAGTAAAGTACTGCCACTGTTATATTCACAAAACTGTTTCAACCAAAGAGGTTTAATTAAAACCCACCTTCCTCTGAACAGAGAAATATTTTCCCAGTGAGATCACATGGTAGTTTTTCTAATTATTTATTCAGTAATCACATAATTAAAAAGCTAGTGTAATAAAAGAGCTAGAATGACAAGTGAGATTTTCAAACTTACTCTAATAAGAAGTACTCATTATTCCAGGGCAAAATGTGGGTTTGTTTGTTAGTTTTTTAAGAGTGTATCCTTGATTAACAGAGAATCTTCTCTCTGCTGCCTTCATACTTTCCATCCATCCACACCAAACATGTACATCTCCACAGAGATGGTAGTCTAGTTTTCCATCTCTCCACTTTATTTTTAACATGACCATTTGCTTCCATAAAGCATCAAGGGTGCAACCATACCACTGTTTGTCACTGCTTTTCCCTCTGCCCTTCACCCTGCTCTGTGGGAACAGTGGCCCTGCACACACAGCTGCTTCTGTGTGAGCAAACTCTGCATTCATTCTCAGCCGTGTGTCTGGTTATTATGCTCCACGTGCCTAGGAAAGGTGACCCCAAGTGGCAAAAAAAGGCATA